ATTTTTGAAAATGTGTAAAGTAAATACCTTATAAATGTATTGTTCCCTTATATAATTATATGTAATTGAAATTGGTGACCTCAAAATTCGGTGAGGCACATGGCCACCAAATTCAAAACCCACTTCCATTCCCGCTAATGTTACTTGCACCCTTGGACAAAGCATTTCACACGCGGTCATAGCTTCAACATGGGGTGGTTGGGGGGGAGGGTTATCGGAAGCACTCCGATGCTCAAGTCAGTCAATGATGAATGATATTTTTGGGTGTGAAAGAGACACAATGGATGCGAGTAATATGATCCGGGTTATCGCAAGCACTCCAATGCTCAAGTCAGTCAATGATGAAGGATATTTTTGAGTGTGAAAGAGATACAATGGATGAGAGTAATATGATCCGGGGTTCAAGAGAATAAAATCAGTTTGCAATATATGGATGTTGTTCAAAATATAATACCTTTGGAAGAGACTGAGCCTCTATTTGAGCCCAATTATCTGAAAACCCATTTTTTAAACTCATTTTTAAGCATGCTTTCTCTAAATAAAATATTTTGTACGTAAATCTAAAAAAAAAATATTCTACTTTTTAATCATATATTCTCCAAAAATTAACTATTGAAAAATTATTTTCAACAAAAAAAAAGGCCAACAGTGAGCTTTTATACTAAAACCCTGTTTGGTACATATTAAAATTTTCATTTTCATTCTTCTACTCATTTTCAACAACACATTTTTTAATAAAATGATATTTTCCATCACATCAATAATTTTTCCTTCTTTTCTAACTACACATTCTCCATCAATCTACTATTCCAAAATACATTCTTTCAAAATAATGTGGCTCAAACACACTCTAAAAGAGGAATATAGGATATTCATTCAATGCTTGACACGTTGCCTTAACCTAACGATGCCTTGATCAAACTAGGCAGGGGTCAATCACAGTTGTCCTAAGCTTGTGACTTTTTAGATGGGTTGAAAGCAGCCACCATATGCATGGACCTAGAAAAGTAGGTTAAAAAGTTGGCTAAGCACATTTGCTGCAGGCTCCCAAATTTGTTAGACACACATAGCATCTTTGAAAGGAGAAATTCTTGGTCGAGGCAAAGTTTATAGAAGCTGCCTTATGAAGGAGAGGTTGATTGCTTCGTAAACCCACTACAAAGATGGCACTTCACTTCAAAAGTGACGCTTCAGATAAATTGTCGTAACCTCGAACGAGGTGCCTGAATCATCTCATTTGGTTGCCTACCGCTGTAGAGAGAAATTGGAAGAGGCGAGATGGCATGGAGCATGTGCCTTGTGTGGCTTCTCGCTTTGCTTTTACTTAGCCGACTGTCACGTGACTTGCCTCATAGGACAAACTGTAACAGATACTATGATTTAATGCTACAAGTGTAGCAATCGCTAGTGCTAATTAACACTACTCTTTAATAGAAAAAAATTTACTAATTATTGTGCATAACCAAATGACCCTATTTCGTATAATTCTCGAGCAAAAAAAAAAAAAAAACCTATTTTACTTTGGTAAAAAGAAAAAAAAGTAAACTAAAAAAATTATCTGCAAATTTGTCATCAATCAAGGAGATCGTGTCAATTCAAAGTTAAAATATTCATGATCTATGAATTTTTTTAAACAAGAGGGCACTAGTGTATTAATAGAAGATAACATGAGGGTATTGGTGCAATCATAAAAAGAAAAAAAACATGTTAAAGTATTTCTAAAAAACTTTTTAAACATAAGGTATTATTTATTTTAAAAAGTTAATTCTTAAAATTATATTTCAAAAGATTATTTAAATTAACTTTTTAATTTAAAGAGTGAGTTTGACTCTCCAAATTTACTCTATATAATTTAATGCATTTAAAGTATTTTAATTATTGATATAGGAAAATAATAAATAATTTAGTGGAAAGCTTATGAAAATAAAAAAAAAAATAAGAAAAAATAATAAATAGTTTTTTAGAGTAATAAAATTAAGGATTAAGCTAGACGTACAGAACTGGTTCACAGAAATTCTACAGAAATTCAAAAGGCCACCACGTGTCGCTGAAAGGAAAAGGAAATGACTGTTGGCTTTTGGAGAAAATTATTCATAAATTCATTAAATTACTTATGTTTTTGTCCAAACTTTCGGGTGTACTATGGAATATCAAACGAAGTCGAAATATTACATTCTTAATACCATTTTAAAGTATTCAGGGCCTAGTATTTTACATCGTTAATAGTGTGCGAAATGGATTATTGTAGCAAATGTTACGGCGTGTCAAAGTAGGCCGTTCTAAACTAATATTTTGAGAATTTCGATAACAAGCTAACTTTAAAAATTCTTCAACGATTGTATGCTAGCCGAATCCATAAATCTTCTATATCCTCTCGAAGCTTATTTCGAGAACTATATCATAGACATATTGAATGATTTAAATGAATATCGAAAATAATTAAAAGTACGTCAAACGTGTATTAAAAAGAAACGTATAACTCGTCTTTTTTTATAATTTACCTCATTTTATTAGGAAATTTTTTATGTGGTATGACTTCAATTTTTATTCTTTTTTTACATAAAAATTCCTAATAAAATGGGTTATAAATTATTATACTACTTTTTCATCTTGATAATTTTTAAATCCGAAAAATTATATATATAAAAAAAGAATCGATCATTTTTAGGATTTTTTTAAAATTATTGTTACTCTATTAAATTTTTATTATTGTTACGCCAAAAAATTTATTAGGAAAAATTTTTCGATTTAGAAATTTATCAGGCAAAAATAAAAAACATTAAAAAAATAATTGATTTTTTTAAAAAGACTAGTTATACGTTTCTTTTTAATACACGTTTGACGTACTTTTAACTATCTTCGATATTCATTTAAATCATTCGATATGTCTATGATATAATTCTCAAAATAAGCTTCGAGATGATATAAAAGATTTATGGATTCGGCTAGCGTACAATCGTTGAAAAATTTTTAAAGTTAGCTTGTTATCGAAATTCTCGAAATATTAGTTTGGAACGGCCTACTTTGACACGTCGTAACATTTGCTACAATAATCCATTTCGCACAACATTAACGACATAGAATACTAGGCCGTGAATACTTCAAAATGGTATTAAGAATGTAATATTTCGACTTCGTTTGATATTCCATAGTGCGCCCGAAAGTTTGGACAAAAATATAAGTAATTTAATGAATTTATGAATAATATTCTCCAAAAGCCAACAGTTCTTTCCTTTTCCTTTTCCTTTTCAGCGACACGTGGTGGCCTTTTGAATTTCTGTGGAGTTTCTGTGAACCAGTTTACGTCTAGCTTAATCCTAAAATTAAATGTAAATATAAAGAGCAGTACTTGAAAATTTTTAATCATAATATATTATTTAAAAATGGGTACCGCTATTTCCATCCACACTTTTTATATATACATCCACTCTTAAAAATTAAATTTTATTATATTTTAAATCCTTTGTAAATTTACTTAAATAGACATAGACAAAATTAAATAAAAATACACAACTCTAAATTGATTTTTCTAACAAATGAAAACCCAAAATCCAAATTTAAGTTACTAAAACCCAGAAAGCTAATCATTACAGAAAACACCGAAGAGTAATCAAATTTTTCCAACAAAAGATAACCCAAAAATCCACATTGATTAAAGAAAATTACATGAATATAATTAAAAGTTGAACAACACAAATGCCTCCGTCAAAACTGTTAGGATTTACAATGAAAAACAAAATCTTAAGATTCAAAATGACGGCATAGCAATGGCCCTTTTTTTCTCTCGGGAGCTTTTCGCCTCTCTCGGAGTTTTCTCCTCTCTTTGCTTGGCAAAGGTAAGGTTCCTTTCTAGGTCTTCATCTGGAGGCCTAGTTCTTTCCCCTTTGGATTTCTTGTCTGTAGGGGGTGGTTGATTTGATGATTTATGAATCTGATTTAAAAAAAAAAAAACTGTTAGGATCAGGATGCACATGTTGATAGAAGGCCTCGTATAATGCATTATTATGTTTCGGAAAATATAGTATTTAAATGAATGAATTTAATAAGGACAAAATTGGAATATGACGTGGATGTAAATAGTATTTTTTATAAATTTTAAAATTTTGTTAGGGATGAACTTAGAGTGAGATGTATATATAAAAAATGTGGATGGAAATAGTGGTACCCTTTAAAAATAGAGGGTGGGAAAAGGACGAGAGCTTTCCTTGATGTGTAACGTGTTTGACTTTTATTGGAGAGCCTTCGAACTTGAAATTCTCACCGATGAGCACCAGAGAAATTGTAACATTGTTTACATTGCAAACATGAATTCGTACTATCCAAAGTTCTTGATTCTAATTTCACTTCTCTTAATTCCTCTATCTTCATCTGCATCGCCTTTAAATCAAGAATCACAAGCTATAGAATCTCTGCTAAACCGTTTGGATGCCAAGAAACCATCTTTTTCAGTACAAGAATCTGCAGCCAAGGGTGTTCTTCACAGATTGCTTCCTTCTCATTTGTCCAGCTTTGAATTTAATATTATCACAAAGGTACTATTAATCATTTTCTTTGATTTTCCTTTCTGGGTTTTCATATTTTTTCTTAATTACTATAAATAATTCTAAGTTCTGAAAATGTTTGGTTGTCTTTGAAGCTGAGTGTACAGAAAAGCAATGTGGAATTTGTTTGCATTATCTATTTTTTCCCCTGGGGCTTTACGTTTTTGAATTTTCTGTAGAAGTTTCAGTTTTGTCTTTTGCTTTCTTGAGAATTTTTATGATACACCCCTACTTTAAGATTGATGTAGGGGACTAAGTTGTTTGAATTTGAATTTTGTTATGCCCAACTAATATTATGGTTATTTGTTTGCCAGTTTTATGAATCAATTTCTTTGCTAAAGAAAGTAACTTTAATGTGCAATCTATTTTTACTGATTTTCCCCTTTTATTTTCCCAAACTAGTAAAACACTTACAACTGACGAGACAGTCACAATTAGGGGCCCAACTTTTATGGAAAAATCACATGTAGAAACTATTTCTGGTGCATAATAAGTTGTCACGTGTCCGTGTATTGTTATTAGACTATCTACAATTTGATGAAGTGTGGTATGCTGTAAGTTAATGGATCCATAATCCTTCAGGTTCGTGATATCATCCTTTTAATAGTTTTTTTTTCTTGTATGATTAACTATTGATCTCATAAATTAGGATGTCTGCGGTGGAAGTAACTGCTTTCGAATAAGCAATTACGAGAGGTCAAGCAGAGATTCGGCTGAAATATTGTAAGTAAAAGAATCTGATTATTGCAATCTTCTTCTCAAGGTCCTCTTTAAGTTATTTATTTATTTATTTATTTTTCTTTTTTTTGGGTCATATGCATCCTGTTTTGCTCTCTACATCCTTTTACCAAAACTGGGGATAAATTTTGTCATAGCTGCATATTTGGTTTTATGGTTAGTGGATTTTCGAGATAAATTCTTTCATTGGTGAACCGACTGGATGATATTTGTTATTCTTTTTCCCTTTGGATATTGTTCTGAGATTCCTTTCTTCTACTTGTTTTCTTTTTGTTTCAATAAAATGACGTGTAGCCTGCCTCCTCCATGAAATCTTATCAGCACTACCATCAAATTCCCCAACGACGTTAGACATCACGATTCTTGAAATAATCTTCACGGTTACATTCTGATTCTTGTTCAAGAGTGGCTATTTTTCAGATTCATGAAAAAATCTTTACTGATAGCATTTTGATAGAATTCACACTTATCTTACTTGGACTAAAATGAAGTCAAGTATTGGAATATGTAATAATTTTGTATTATCTAGCTGGCAAATCATCAAAATGAAGATTTAATCATGACTCTAATTCTCTGGATTTTTCCTTTCCTCCTGCTCTAGGATACAAGGAACTACAGCAATTGAAATAACATCAGGCCTTCATTGGTATTTAAAGTACTGGTGTGGTGCTCATGTTTCCTGGGACAAGACTGGAGGTGCTCAACTTGCTTCAGTTCCCAAGCCAGGATCACTTCCACATGTGAAAAATGAGGGAGTGATAATTAAGCGTCCTGTGCCGTGGAACTATTACCAAAATGTTGTGACTTCCAGCTGTAAGAATCATTGTCGACCCTTCTATTTGTTATCTTCTATTTACTTCTTCAATCCTTACTTCTTGTTAGTTAACTTATTTCTCAACTATATAGATGCATTGAATATTATACTGTGTTGAGCTCATTACATTTAGTCTTCCCTAATACCTGATTGACAACGATAAGAAAAGTAATCGTGGGTAACTTATTATTTTCTCACATGTTGACTGACTACTTTGTTTCACTGTGAAACCCTAACCTTCAGCCACTGCTCTTTACTTTTATGGTTATGAAGTTGTGTTTTCTTTCTCTTGTTGATTCTCTTGGTTTAACTAATATTCTTTGGTTCATTTTACCAATTTTAATATCCATCTTTTTTCTGCAAACTATATCATAAGTAAAATTTTGATATTTGAAACATGTTTCGCTTAGACGAAAACACAAGCCAGTTTTTTTAGTACTTGGTGAAGCTCCAGTAAAGTAGTTCTGGCTGAATACAACACTAAACTGTAAAAGGGTGATGTTTATATAACCATGTCAGGAAAAGAAAAGAAAGAAGAAATTCTAGGAGAACAATGAAAGGAAAAATAACATTTCAGTCAACAATAGCAACAAACAACTAAGCCTTTATCCCAATAAATATTGGCCCACCACTACATCACCGGAAGATGCTATGCACTTAAATCCTTTGCCACGCGTTATATCATGTTTATTTTTGCCATCCTCCACCTTCCAACTTATTTTGTTGGAATCACATGGCCCTTGTGAATAAGAACATCTTTAGGATCTTGTGAAAATATTATAGAGCCCAAAATTTGATAAAGAAACATAATTGTGGGTGGAGATCCTAAAGAATTTTGGAAGAAGTGGTTCTTAAAACAGAAAGCACATTCCTGTTGGGTATCTTTGATAATATAATTGAAGTCTTCCCCTCTCCTATTCACTCATAACATTTATGAGTAGATAATTTCTTCTCATCCAGGAAAAAATGATTTTGATTTAAGTACTAAATATTTGTATCTTTTCGAGAACATGAATTATGAAGTTCATTCAAGAAAATTAGAGTTAAAGGTGATTAAATTTTCTGTATTTTATGCAATTTTTTAGAATTTGTGTTGTTATTAATTATTCAGGTTTTTAGATTTCAAATTTATTGAAGCATACCATTTTTCTTTTTTCTTTCTTTCTTTCTTTTTTTTTTTTAATCTGTGGCTCGTTCCTTTATTGCTTTTTACTTGCTCTTTTGTCTGTTCTATTGAAAGTGAAAGATACAATGGAGAAGTCATAATTCATTTGAATGCTAACTTTTCACTTAGAAGAGAAAGTTGAGACCTGAGATGCAACTTTCTTCCATTTTAGGTGGTTCAACAATCAAGATGTTTCATTAATGCAGTTTCTGTCTAAAGCTTAAATAGAGTTATATTATGCCATTTTCAGATTCCTATGTTTGGTGGGATTGGGAAAGATGGGAGAAAGAGATAGATTGGATGGCTCTTCAAGGAGTCAACTTACCTCTGGCATTTACTGGACAGGAATCCATCTGGCAAAAAGTTTTCTCAGTATGTATTTAACATCAGCAGCTAAAGTCATTTTGTCAGTCGAGTTTAAGAGGATTAATTGGAATTCATTATCTTTCAACTTACAGAGAAATGCAGTCTGTATGTTAGATCTCTTTATGAAATTATCTTGTCATAGGAACATTTATTAACTTCAAGATTGGAAGTTTCAAATCTTTGTACCTCATCAAGGACTCTTCATTTTATGAACTGAGATTCTCTATTGCTTCTACTAACTTCTTATCTTGTCACAAACTGTAATGGTGGCACAAACTGTAGCACTTAAAAACATTTAAACAGTTACTATACCTTTTCTATTAAAACCCTATTGAATAGGTCTTTCAGTAACTTCTTTGCTCATCACAAACTGATTGAAGTGTTGCATTTAAAAATATTTATAATTCTCTGATATATTGATATTCTCATTGACAATTGTGATAGATTTATGTCATTCAAGTTATTGGCTGATGCCTTATTGAAATAGGTTCTTCATGATCAAAAGCTACTAGTAGCGTACTTAACATTTTCTTATAGTGTAACTTAGGGTTTCTCTCAACTGTCACGTCTTTCCGCATTTCCTTCACTTGAAATTTGATGAGTGAAAAACATATGATGCAAGCACATATGATTGGCTTCAAGAAACCTCCCACTTGTTTTCTAGGCTACATAAGTTTTGACTTGACAATTGTTAGGTTCACAAGCATATTCCTGGCTTTTTTATTGACTTAGTTATGTATCTAGAGAAGGCTAGTCCTCTATTTCTGATCCTCATCATTTGGCTGCAGGAGTTCAATATTACGAAGAAGGATTTGGATGATTTCTTTGGTGGACCTGCCTTTCTTGCTTGGGCTCGCATGGGTAATTTACATGGGTAGGTATTTGAACCCAGGTTGATGCTGATATAGATCATCCATAAGATGATTACTGAAGGCAGTGGATAAAAAAGAGAGTCCGTTATGCTTCAGTCTTTTTTTCTACCATCTGTTTATCATTTTGACTTCCATCAACCATGGGATTAGAATTTTATTCCTTAAGTGTTTCTCTTGAAATTCTATCTTTCGCAGTCTACCTTTTACATTAAATGTTGTCCATCAACAAACATAGATCTCATCAAGATAAGATCATCAGTTTTTGATGGATATAAAAGGAATTGGATGATGTTGTTTATTAGCCAAAGGCTATGGCTGGCTAACAGGATTATTGACATTCTGTTGGAAAGGATAAGCATTTTGATCCCTTTCCTTCAAATCATTCTCCATTAATTTGCAGAGACCTGCCTTTACCTAGATGCTTACCAATGAGATAGGGTATCAGATAATCACTTGCATCTTTGCTAAATTTACTGCAAATTTTTTTTCTCTATGTAGCTTGATCGTTATTCTGTGTTACCAACTGACTTATCAATATGTACATAAATTTACAGAAAACATATGCGACATATATATCCTTACCCGATTCTAATTTTTTGTCATTCTATTTGTTTTGCTGTTGAAGGGGGGATACACACACTGTCACGTGTTGCTTGTCCTTTGACAGTGGAAATTTCATCGTGTAAATATGTATTTGGGCCTTAGATAGCTTAATTTTTGAAAAGACTTATTCTTTACTAATTACAATCGAACTTTCATCTCATGAAGATTTTTAAACTGAATTTATATTATATTACAGGTGGGGCGGACCTTTGACTCAAAATTGGTTAAATAAACAATTGATTTTGCAAAAACAGATATTAACCCGAATGGTAGAGCTCGGGATGACCCCAGGTATCCTTCAGCTGCAACCTAATTGTCCCATTTTCTTCCCTTCTCCCAGAAACCCAAACAAGGAGCTGCTTCCGGATTTAAATTGAGCTCCATGTTACTTGATAAATTTTTTTGGCTGATCAACTTAATACTTGCTGTTCTGATAGTGCTCCCATCATTCTCCGGGAATGTTCCAGCTGCATTAAAAGCAATATTCCCCTTGGCGAACATAACTAGACTCGGGGACTGGTATTTTACTCCTTTTGGCTCTTGGGTATCTGTAATTCTCTTACATTGAAAACTCGTTCCTTTAACTATTATAAGTAGCTTACTTTTATGCTTTCTTTACTGTGTTCCATTTTAAAGATGCTCGCACTTTTTTATCAAACTATGCCTGATAAGATTGTATTATTTGTCAACTACCCTTAGTTTTTTCTCGTGCTCCAGTAAACTTCATATTAAAGAAAATGGAAAAGACAATGAAGAGACAATGTAATCCCATATACTCTTATGACATTGAAATGCAAATTGTACTTCTAGAAAAACAAAAGGCTCCATGTTGTCAGGAATTTTTTGTCAAAGGATGCATGATCTATCACTATGGTCCTTCTGATAAAAGTATTCATGCCTAAATACAAATTGCATATATTTGAGTGACAAGCTACACCATAAGTATGTTCATACCATTTAGATGTGTAGAGAGTACAAGGTCTTTTATAGAATATTAAAGACCATAAAAAGAGAATATGAGTGATGGTTTTAGGGGTGAGCTGGGGGAGAGTTGTTGAGATAATACTTCATTGCATGTAGGGGCTGACATTTAAATTGGGACGTACTGAAAGGGTCTTTGGAATTTTAAATAAGAAACTGACAATGAAATTTTAAAAGAAAAATTGATCGAGCAAAGTTTGTTATGAAATCATTTCAAGGTGCCAAGGTTAATTATGAAATCAGCAGTAATCCACATCAAATCTTTTGTCTTTATGTTAATTATGTGAAATTGTGCTATAGAAGAAGATATGATTTTCTTTTATACTTTCAATTAACTTACAGTTGAAATTTCTTGCATCTTTGTGCTGAAAATCATTGACTTGTATACTTCGAATATTCTATTTTGTATGCGAAGTTTAGCTCATGCTACTTTCGTTATGCTAATTAAAACTGTTCTCTTTATTTTAGGAACACCGTTGATGGTGATCCTCGATGGTGCTGTACTCATCTTCTTGATCCTTCTGACCCTTTATTTATTAAAATTGGAGAAGCATTCATTAAGCAACAGATCAAAGGTGAGGTAATTGCCTGTTATTAATTTCACTGATTTGAAATGATCTTTGGCACTGTTTGACTGAAATGAATTCTGTTCACTTGATAGCGCTTCAGGTCGTCTCTCTCTTTCTCACACTTGCACTGAGTCTTTTGCAACTTATACTTCTCAGTAGACTTTTGATTTGCATGTATTGACGATCTAAATAAAGCACCAAGTGGGACAGTCACCTGTTTTGAATTCAAAGAAATAATCCATCACTATGTAATAATTTGGAGTACACATGCTCATTGCGCGTCACAACTTTTCAAAAAAATAGTGTACAAATTAAGTATTTAGGCTTATGTTTCCTTTCCTTCTCATTTTTCTGACTCTAAAATTGATATTTGGAATTTTCTGCAATTAAATCTTCGAGTAATAATTTTACATTTCTATGTATTAGATTCATTGACCTTTTTCTCGTTTTTTATACATTTGTCACAGAATATGGAGATGTCACAAACATTTATAGCTGGTAATTCTTTTTAATCATTTTCACTAGATTTATTTCTTGTATCTGGATCGTAGATCTGCTTTGAGAATGTCTTTTATAACTTCTTAATCTTATAAAGCACCTTGCCAACTATATGTAATCTAATCGGGTGTAAAAGAGGTTTCTATTTGTTGTTCGTTGGGTATGTTATGCATTTTTCTTGGTTCTCCTTTTGATGATTCTAATTCTTTGACATTTGAGAAATTTATAGAATTTATCAGTGACCAGAATCATTCTTTCAGCCAGGCAAGCTGACTTCAAATGCCTTGAGTTATGAAATGTACATAAAAAGAATTTTCAGTCTTAGTTATTAGTTCCGTATACGCATCAAATATTGCATTACTTAGTAACCAGGTTTTAGTTTCCCATTCGGGTATTACTGGAGAGGGTTAATGGTGGTATCTTGAATTGGATTGTGAAGGGCATTACACTAATTACCACAGCTAATGGTGAAACTCCTTGTTAAACTGAGTGCTGAAGCACTATCCTCAGCATGGCATTACCAGCAGCTATTCCTGATAGAAACTTGCGTAAACTTAAAAGTATTACTTAATGATAGAAGCATGTACATTTCTAAGAGATGTTTCTGGCACTTGGAAAGGTCTTTTGGACTCTTGGGCAGCATCTAAAATCTGCGTATGAGGTCTAAAGGTTTTGAAACTTGATTGAGCCTCCTTGGGCATTTCTTAATTATGGAATATGTTTTAAGCCCTCATGGAGGAGGTGTCATATTTTCTTAACAAAATTAGATATCTTTAGGGGAAAAGTTGGATTTAGAATTTCAGATGTTAATATACATGGAATGCAGATGGTCTCATAGTAAATTATTAATTGGTTTCTTTTCAACCTTACTAGAAATAGAAAAAGAATAGAGTAGTGATCTTGCATGTACGTGATCAGATTTACAGTCTTTAGAGGTACTAGTGGAAGTTGTTTTATCTGATTTAGAAATGTTTTACTGACATCATCGTTGTCTTCATAACTAAATTACCATCCGTCCTTGATTTTTCTCAATATACTATTTGTTCTGTTGTGATTATGTTCTTGATTACACGTGTAAGAAATTATTCTTATTTAATAGTTCTGTATCCATCTGCATGAGGTTACTCCAAGCTTATTTTGTACATTTCTCACCATGGATCTAAAATTACTATGATTTTTGCAGTGATACTTTCAACGAGAACTCTCCACCTTCTAGTGACCCAACTTATATCTCCTCTCTTGGTTCTGCTGTTTATAAAGCAATGTCTAAAGTAGATAGAGAGGCAGTGTGGCTAATGCAAGTATATTTCTAATATTCTCTCTTTTACTCATCTTTCGTTGCATGCATCAATCGTTTTCTAATTATTCCATACATCATGGTAGTTCTCATATTGTAAACATCAAATGTTTGTTCTTATATTCTATTTAAATCAGTCATATCCCATGCTTTTACTTTAAGCCCCTGTTTGAAACCCCTTTTTTGCCCAAATTCTAATTCTACTACAATGGTGTCCGACAAGAAACCAATTTTTTACCCATTTCCATCTTAAAGTAGGTGGGACCCCACGTACACACCAATCCAATTTGGGCTGAGAATGTTCCAACCAAAGTTGTTAAAATTGACTTTTCTTATGCACATGTATTTGTTGTTTCCAATATTGCCCTCCAACTAAAATGTGTTAGGTGGAATAGTTTTCTCCATCATTGCCACAAAATTGAATGTGAATTCCATTTTCATACGATTTTGATTGTAGTTCTTCGGCAAAAATATTCCATCGAACGCCATGACATAATCCGACATTGTAATCCGCGAAAAAAAAACGAAAATGACTTGGTCGAAATAATTATAAACGATGTCGCATACGTCGGCATATATAATGACTAGTAATACGATACGCCCCCGAATCAAACATAGGCGTGATCTATAACTACTAACGTAATGCCTGCGCCATGTAATCGGGTAGCTGCAGCCACGACATGTCCTTTTCAACGATTGCATCTAGCTCGACGGCAATTTCATCTTCTTCATCAGGTAGATCTATCTCGACTTCGTCGTCATCTACTTCTTCGGCTCGTTGAAAACCCTCATCCAGCCGACCGTTTCTCCGAAGGAAGTTATGTATACCCATTGTGGCCACGACCACAGCTGTTTGTGCTCTCATATTATACCCAGACATTCTATCAATTATCTTCCATCTGTGTTTCCATACACCGAAGGCACGCTCAGTAACGTTGCGGCATGATGATTGATGGAAATTGAACCGCTCCCGTGCATTTCAGAACCGACGGCGTTGTCTTTCCCCTACGTTGCCGAATTCTTGAAAATGATATCCGATATCAGAGCCCTTATATGGAGCCATGTACCCAGGCATGTGTGCGAAACCAGAGTCAACCAGGTAGTATTTACCGTTCGCGGGTTGGGAAAAATTGATTTCCTGACTATGCACAGTACGTGCTAAAATTCGGCTATCGTGTGTGTTCCCAGTGGTTCCCGGCAGCAAAAACGTAAAACAGAGATTGAAATCACGACGGCCAGTACATTCTGGGTTGGAATTCCTTTTCTTCCAATGTAATTCTCTCTTACATTGCGGGGCAGTACGACTCGCACATGGGTTCCGTCTATCGCACTAATGCAATCCTGTAATAATAATATGTATGATTATGAACACAATGTTATAAATAATGTGCGTTACATGTTCTACGATCTACAACATGTACAAAATAACCTGGAATAGAGGATATCGTTCCACATTAGAATGATGGTGAGCTGTCCCTTCATTGTAACGCAGATCTAGTTTAATTGTGTTTGCCGCGAAAGCTACGCATGCACTCAGGATCGTCTTAAAGTAATGGCTGATCGTTTGCAACGAATGACCGAACAGCTTTAGACTTGCCGATATCCTTTGTCGTGTGCTAGAACACACAAAAACATTCCCACCTGTTCGTATATGTCAACGTTTGCGCTGCTGCAAAGTTCATACTTGTCGCAAAGTATGTGCGTGAAGTACATAAATATTGGCGGGTACATCCTGAACTCTTGGAAACACGTTTGTGGGTACACATGCAAATTTTGTAGCATAAAAATGTGACTCCATCGAGTTGTCGAGAATAAAAACCTACGTGCTCTATTTGGTGCCACGTACTTGCGAACAATTCGCTGTGTGATTCTACAGTACCGAAGCCAAGTGTTAATGTCATCCTCTAATTGCTCCATCAGATCTTCATCTGAACTCGTATATGAATTAGACATCGACTAAACATCGCAGCCTATTTCTGAAGATGCGTACACATTGAAGTATCGGACATCATCTCGAACTAGTTTATGTTATGCATAAATTTCAAATGTTTGTATCAAATACTTGATCGAAAATTG